CTCAGTGACCAAGAGGTCAAAGACGCGCAATTATGCGATACTTTGGACATCTTTGGACGATGAGACCAAAGCTACTCAGACTGTTCACTATACTTTGTAGATGTGGAAGAACCAAGAAACCGAGTCAGCTAAGCATCCCAAACGAACGAAACCGTTCACTTTGGATGACCTCATCACCTCTCACGGGCTCCGCTTCCGTGAGTGGCGTTGTGCAGTCGATGCGTTGTCGCTGCGCAGTTTTCGCTGGGAAGGAGCCCAAACAGGCGAAGATCATGGTCGCCCCTTTTTTAACTCCCGCCAGAATGTGGCTTAAAGCCAAGGGATGGCGATTTTCTTCAAGCACTCCCGACTTCTAGTGAGAGGTGAGCACAGTTTCCAGTTTGTGAAGAAGCAATACAGCCCTTTGAAGACGCCCTGAAAGAGCACTTCCATTCTTGAGCGCTGACATGAGGCTTGACGGGGGGAGAACTTGAGATTTGATCAGCCAAAGTCGCTGAGACGCACAGCGAAGCTGTACCACTGGAGCTCGGCCTGAATGGGTACTCAATGAACACATGTGAACACCTGCGGCCTTTTCTTGTTGAGGGGGAGAAAACCTTGCAGGTGATCAAGTGCAATCTCTCCACAATTTAATCATGCCCAATGGTGCTTCTTCGGTGCGCCTATGTAGCCCTTCAACCGAAGTTTCTGGCAGAACCTTCTCCCCCGCAGGCAGAGCTCGGCCCAGACCCTTCCAGGAGATCCCCCTCCGCAAAAATCCGACGCGCAGATCCGTCTGAGAGCGCCCTGGGTTCGGGGAGCGCCGTCGGTCGCTTGTCAGATGTGCCAATGTGCTCTTGCACCCCGCAAGAGGAGAGCAACAGGTCATGTAAACTCTGGATTCCTTTTCACCCCGGCAGACCTGAAGAGGTTTAGTATGTCTTTGAAGATACTAGCAGCAAGAGGCTACTAGGAACGGTCTTTGAAGCTACTAGTAGCAAGGACGCTACTATAATTACTATAGTAGGTCTTTGAAGCTTCTTAGTAACAAGAAGCTAGTATATATTTTTACAATCAATTTTTTGGGGTGTTGAAATACAATCAAGAGTTTACATTGTCTACATATAAGCCTCAGGTCGTGGAGGCCAGGATTTGGGTTTGGGCAGGACCACGATCTGGCCTTCTTTTGGATCACCGTTTTGGGGACTGCGATCAGCTTGCGTGGAACCACCGAACCCTTTGGTCTCGGATGGCTGCAACCACCAGGTGCGAGGAGCTCACGGCGGAGAACAAGCGCTACGTCGCCGAGGCGGCCGGACGACGGCGGAGGGGGGGGGAACCAGACCCGGCAAATGCTTTCAGAAGGACTTCGGTTCACAGAACATGGCATTTCAAGACAAAGTCTTCCAAATGTTACACCCATCTAATGAATGTTACTTGATGTTACTTGACCCATGGATGCTCTGAGACCTACACTCCATCCAAGACCTGAGAACGACCCTCCGTCCGTAATCGGACGGAAGACGACCGTACTGTCCTGGATGTGACCCGTGCCTCGCTCACGGTCTGCTTTGACGAGATCTACCAGGACCATCCGACCAGACCTCTCCGGGATCTCCAGCCACACCCAGATGGTCGGATCGTCCAGGTAGATACATGTTTCTATCCGTCCTGTAACGCACACACACACACACACACATCTGAATCTCTCCATATGGCCCCCCATGATCTACCGTGCCTTACTACCCTGCACACGACTTCTAGATTTTATCGGGACACATATGTACCAGGACCCTCCAAGAGGTGTCTATACATATGCTCAGAGGTGAAGGTGCCCCAGAACCACCGGGCTTGGAAGGTCCTGGTACAACCAAGAGGATCCGGCTCTCCTTATAGGTTACTTTGCTAGTAATTACAAGTGCATCGCTAGGTAGTAACAAGAAGCTAGTGATTACAATTCTCTTTATTCCCACCACAGATCTCACCTCCCAAGACTTCTCAGGCAGAGGCCTCAAGTGCCCTGGTGGCGGCGCGCGAGGCGGTGACGCAGCAGATGGAGGCGTCTGAGAGGGAAGGATGGGTGGCACCAAGCCGTTTGGGGGGCTGTTGGGTCCCTTTGTTTGAAGACTGAGGGTGAGTCTTGGGGTCTGGGTCAAGAGTCATGTAGAATTTCGGAGATGGTTTTGCTTTCCAGAAGGTCAACCAGATTTTGGGCAAAAAGACAGGTGGTGTTTGTTGCAGTAGAATGTTTCTTTCCTAAATATCTTCCAGGGGTGGTTCCCTAAAACAACACTGTTCATGGTGAAGGGGACGCGGGCTGTGAAGCACATGCCTGGGTGGCAACACTCAGACTCAAAGAACAGGCCACCAATTCAGGGTGAACATGTACATTTCCTCGGGCAAGTATTCTTTCTCTAACTTATCGTGTTCTTCACTCCGTTGTGCACCTTAGGATGTGAACGGGGGGCGAAGCTTTCCATGAGCCATCCATCGTTTTATAGTCTTCAAACAATACAAACTAATCCACTGCCAACATCGTATAAGGCTATCAGAGGAGTGCATGATGTTTAATCTCGATGAATCTTGATCATCATTTGTACCGATTTTTTTGCTTTTCATTAGATAAAAATATAGTCACATTTAGTAGATTCATATATCCTGCAATCAACTACAGTGTACAGTGACCATACATTCCACCCGTCCCGAACACCTTCTCCAAGGCGGCACAGCGCACCATGGCGGAGCTCACCGCATGCCGGGCTTCAGTGGCCCCTTGGAGGACACGCGTCGGGTCATGGCACCGTTTCCGAGCCCGACCAGCCCACCTGGTGGATATCCGACCGTGCCATGACCCACTGCCATGTATGGGTGGATGGTAGCAGATGCCTTCCAGCGCCGAATCCTTTTGTGCTGCTTTGAACATGACGGGATTTCGATGAATTTCGTCTTTCTCTGACGGGTTATCCTTCGACATGTTTTTCTGACCACGACCACAAAGTAGAGGGCTGTTCAAATTGGGAGCTAAAATTTGCTTGGATTTCTACCACGCACACATAGATAATCGATACTTCAGTGGGCTAAGCTTTTTGGGATGACAGATGTTGGAGGACACAAGAACGAGACGAATCTCCAAGAATCACGTTGTTCATCGTTTCTTTTTCTTTTTTTAAACTTTCAAAAAACCCAGCAGTCACTCACGCAGTCATGCCGACACGCTTCCTCATTCGACGGTTCCTCACTCGAGGCCATGGACATCGACGAGCAGCTCAGGGCGGAGGCGAGAGGGGGGGTCTTCCAACGTAATGGCAACAGCGGTTATGGTTGTGGCAAGGTATTCTGCCCAATTCAGGTGTTAAATGAGTTTAGTATTGGGGGCTCGAGCTGGGCTTGATCAAAAAGGCTTAATCCTGTGATATGCATTACTTAATGTAGATTCTTGATGAATAAACCCTCTATATGAAGAGGATGTCCAATTCAATTGGATGGGTTTAGCAATCAAGAGTCTACATGATCTACCAGGGAGGCAGCTGCGGGGAGACGTCCTCGAGTTCCGTGTCGGGGTGCTCCTGTCCCCTCCCTGGATGGGACTCAAAACCGGGGGAATGGCAGCTCCATGGGGGACCCCCAGCTCCCCATCTCTGATGCCTAGAGGATCTTCAGATCGACTGGGTCCGTGGTTGGGGACTCGTTGATGACTCATCCGTTCATGGAATGTCGATCCTCGTGAACTTCCGCCATCCAAGGCTCCCGCCCACCAATAAGATCACAGCAGAGGCATGTCTCTACGGGGCCTTGGGGAGGTGCTTCCAACCGCCCATCCCCTGTTTGCCGAAATGCTTTGCGTGTCTTCTCTGGAAAATCCCTTCCGTGTTGCGAACACACAGGGACGCACCGAACGGGTTTTCACGCGCAGATCCGATGAGACGCGAGGCCATCAGTGCCCGAAATCGCGTCTGTCTCTGGTACGGCGGCAGTGGGCAGATTGCGAAGCAAAAGGGGGGGCTAGTGCCCGGCTCATTGATGGCCGCCTTCGCCTTCGCAAAACCTAGCTAACCCAAAACAAAGAAATCTAACAAGGCCGAGTTCCTTAAGAGGTGCGTTGAAACTTTGAGCCCGCAGTCACAAAGGGGTGCTTAATGGAGGTTAGGGGTGCCCCAACACCACCCCTTCGTGACTCCTGGAGGGTCAGATGCCAGCATCGTCCGTGTTGCTTCCGCATCGTGGGACCTCGGAGGATGCCAGCAAGTCCCGAGAGGTGCCCGACGGGTCGACGCGCGACGCGCGGGGGTCGAAGCGAACGTCGAAGCGAAGGGGGTCGAACGGGGCGTCCTTGTTGGCGAACCATGGGTGAAATATGTCTTCTGGGGAATAGGTTGGATTCCCCTTTTTTTTGTTCCGGTTTCTATAAAGCAAAACTAAGTTAAAAGGACCCTGAACCAGGGGGTTGGTGTTTAGATGTGTTTAGTGGATGTTCTGGGCACCCCTGCCCTCCAATAGGCACCCATTTGGAACTGCTGGAAAAAGACATTTTGGTTGAACATACCTCTTGGCTCTCTTGGCATAACTGACTGCAGACTGCTGATGAATCACCCCCCAGACATGTAAAACCTCTCCTGCAGGGCTGGGGAATTGAAGGATCAACACCCTACAGTAAAACTCCGACTCCCGAGCCCTCCAGTCTGGACCTGGGAGTCAGACCTTCTGGAACCCAAGCCCTTTCCCCCTTCCCATTGCTAGGTTCTTTTTTGTTTGGATTCTTATAGGGCTGATGACCCCATCTCAGACGCTGATCCGGAAGGAACACGTAGTCTCCATGAAGCAGACGCTGACCCCATGCGACCGGGGATCCGACCATCGCAGCAGTTGGTGGCCCATCTTGTCATTTTAGAGCAGATTTGAACAAGAATTTAACCCCCAAAATGGCAGACATGCAAAAGACCCTTGAGGATCTGAAATCAGTTTCTGTGCTTTTCTCATAATACATTTATCACACGTGCAAACAATCAACAATTCTGAATCACAGCATGGTGATGGGATGACCAGTGAGTATATTCCCAGCATTGGAAAACGAGTGCGACTGTCACTTTTGCTGGGAATATACTGGTTCATGAGCAGTTGCGGCATGGAGTGCTTGTTCGCGCGTGGAGCTCCTGTCTTGGAGCCTCTGAACTTGCATGGCATCGCTGAATTCATCAAGTCTGGCCGGTGCAAGTCCATCTTTCTGCTGACCGGCGCAGGCACGGCAGCGCGGCAGAGCGGTAGACCTAGGGCGGTCGGTCCAGGAACACTACTTGGCTTTGCTTAAGGCTTAAGGGTGATGTTTATCTTCCCTATGATGGGTGAATCCTCTTCCGGGGAATCTTTTGGCCTGTTTTCCTGGTTCCTCAAGCAAAGCAAGACTAGAACTACTCGCAATGAGAAACCTTCAGCATCACTCTCTGGGAGGCTTGGAGACAGCTTCCCCTGAATCCAACCCCAAGACTTAGCGACTCCAAGACACAGAAGAGAACATCTGCCCCCCAAACGGCCCTTTTTTGGGAGCGCGCCATGGCAGGGGGTCTTACAGGACCCGAACCGAAGCCTTTCCCCCTTGGAGCCAAAACGAGTCCCTCCCACCTCGACCGGTCGTGACGACGTCGACCGCACCCTAAGACTCCTTCCTCCGCCAAACCCCACCGGGTCGGTGACGACCCGTCCACGTCGGTCCGTCGGTCGAGACACCTCGTCCCAGGTGTCTCGACCGGTGCCGGCATCCCGGACTTCCGTTCGCCGGGCGGGATGTACGACTCGCTCCGTCCCGAGCTGCTGACGGCCACGGAGAAGCAGCGCAAATTGATGAGAAGCGACCCAGTTCATGTGGTGACCAAGGAGAGGGTTGAAACGAAAGGGAAGGACAAAAGGAGTCCTGTTTTGGAAGTTGTGAGGTTGGGAGGTGAAAAGCTCGAGTTTTTTGGGCATTTTATGGGAGTTGCAGAGTAGACTGGTAGACGACCTGGCTTTGTAGCTCTAGATTTCGGAAGTGCCATCCAAACCAGGAGATGTTCTATCAAAACCAGTTCCCCTACATGGAAGTCCGACGACCCTTCATTCTTGGAACTCAGAGTCAACAGTGGAAGGCTACCATTTCTCATTGGTTCATGAAATTTCTGGACGAGGAACGCCTTCTCCAGCGAGTCTTTACGCAAAACATTGATGGCTTGGACTACCAAACAGGCATCTCCCGCGAGCGAGTGACCAATGTCCACGGGAGCATTGCGAATGTGACTTGTGAAGGTTGCAAGCGAGAGATGTCCTTCGATGCCTTCTGCGATGAACTCCGCAAGAATATCAAAGACATCTACGGTGTAGACCCCACGGCTCCTGAGACCTCCACGCACATCCCATGCCCTTCGTGCAAAAGGCCCTTGGTGAAGCCCAGTACGGTCCTTTTCGGGAGTAGTTTGCCCGAAGCCTTCTTTGACCAATTGCCCAGCCTTTCGACGGCCGACTTATTGATCGTCGCGGGCACATCGTTGGTGGTGTCACCGGCCAATTCAGTCGTGCAACATGTTCCCCGTAACTGCCCCAGGCTCATTGTCAACAAGGAGCGTGTAGGTGAGGACTTGGGTATTGTATATGGCACTGCCGCGGAGCGAGACATATGGAGTGGTGACATCTCCTGTGATGAGGCATTTTTGGAACTCATAAAGCTTCTGGGGTGGCAGGAGAAGCTTTTGAAGATCCAACATTTGCTGCCAGAGGGCAACAAGGAACTCCTCAAGAAGTTGTGAGTTGTGAGGGTATGATGATAATTTCAATATATTTCAAGGGCTTAGCGCCTCACAGAAGCTTGAGGTTTTCTTGGACCGACTTATGTACAGATGGCAGGATCCAGGAAAGAAGCACGCTCAAATCCACCAAAAGCAAGTCCATCACACCAAGCAGATCTACCCACCAAGAGTGGGACATCAGTTGGACCATCCGTATACCATCCTCAATGTTGATGGTTCATGAATCAACCCACCTAGAAGGTCACACCTCCGGGGCCTGGGGTGTTTGATTCAACCGTTTTCCGACAGTCCTTCGAGAAGAAGCTTCGGAACCGACCGGACCCGAGCGGTCGAGCGGTCGCTTCTGCGAAAAGGCTCCGAACTCATGGAGGGTTTGGTCTTCGTGGACTTCGTTGGCCTTTTTGGGCTAGGAGCAAGAAGCTACGAACGGGGCTCCTGGCCTTACTACTAGTAACAAGAAGCTACGAACGGGGCTCCTGGCTGGCAACGCTACGAACGGAGCAAGGATGCTTTCAGATTCACTTTTCTGCCCTGAGAATGTGGGCCCTTCTCCACAAGGGTTTTTCGCTGGAGCCGAACACCAGGGCAACAGCAGGACATCCCTGAAGAGCTTGTCTCAGGCACCGGCATGCGTGGGCGGGACATGTGGATGGGGAACCGGTTTAGAGGATCTGCCACGAAGAGGAAGAAGCGTGGTGCTAGGCCTTGAACCTCATGAGAAGTTGGGAATGGACATGTAGAGATCATTAGAGATCCCCCGCATAGATGGTGTCACGATGTCCCAACGATTTTTGAGCTGGAGATTTGCTTTGTCCATCTATTTGGCACATATGCACTCAACTACTATGGGTGGATGAGGTTCCAAAGTAGAAACAAGGTGATTCAAGATTATATGACCTTTTTGTTCCTAGTGCGGTTCCTCAGCAAAAGCTCCTGGACCTTCTGAATGGCCATAGACGATCAAAAATGGCCGCAGAGGATATGTGAGAGAATCCAACTGAGCTTTCGTACTGGGGTCGACCAGTTCAGCCCTGCATACCCACTTAACTTTACAGGCACAGGCTGGGTTTGGGTGTTTCCAGTTCCCCAAATGGTGCACCCGGATGCTCCCGGGCTCGATTCTCGATGGATTCCTAGACAACATTTGAGACTCGACCCGGGCCAATTGTCAAAATCCAAAGCCATCCAAAGATGACCACTCCAACCCACCTAGAACTTTTGATATTATATATATATATATTATAAGATATACACATTAGACAACATTTGACATTGATATATATATATATATATACCCAGGGCATCCAGTTACCCCTATGTACGGAACCAGTCCAGTTACCGGCCTGCCAGGTAACCAAGGCTCAGTTCTGGAACCGGCCTATGGAATTGTCCATCAGGATCAAGTTTCATCTACACGGCAACAGTAACCTCCAGATGACACACTTGATCGTAAATTTCAAAGCCTCTACACGCCATGTTTTGCATCAACACATGTCGACATTACAGTACTGTCATGGCATGTGAGGGTGTTCAGAGACGCACTGAGTGCATTCATGACGATTCATGAAGCGTGCGTACGCCGCATGGCTTCATCAGAAGAACAAAGGTGCCCGCCCCTTCTGCGACGGGATGGGAGTTCAGCGTGTTGAAATCTTGAGGGGCGGAGTGTCGGTGGAGGGATCTGGGTCTCCTGCTTTATGAGGCTCTGTGGGACCCATCTAGGGAATTGAAAGGATCACACGAGAACCCCTTGCATCGCTTCACATTTTTCTTGTGCACGGCTTGGCTGCCATCAGCATTGCAAAGCACGCTCGCAGCACTGCCTCATCCTGCAATCGGCCAAACAGCCATGTCCGTGGGAGAGGAACAAGGAGGGTTGGATGAGTTCCTAGATGGAATTTATTCATATTACTTTTAAGCTGATGTGGTCTCCCTTAACTCGTGATTGAGTGGGTTTCCCGCCGGCGTTTGCACGATCGATCAATTATAAGGCTGGACTTCCTCAAATGCGTTTTGGAGGATTGGAGCAAGACGCTTGGGGTGCCAGATTTGCGGAAAGACAAGAACCACAATCTTGTTGGTGGTGCTGGCCTGGATCCAACAGAGGAATCTGTTGGGCAGCTTTTTGACCCTATCTCCATGATCATGGCCCAATTTGGTAAAGCCATCCCTCTTGGATCCAAGTTTGTTGTTTCTGGGCTCATAACGTGAAATGTTTTCCTGTTTGTTTTGCTCGTGCCAGCTAGTAATGATCCCAAGAGAAACCGTCCCTGACTATATATTGTGCAGGCTGCTTTCCTTTACCTTGACCAGCTACTGGGCCTACATCCTGAAGAAACACGCCAAAAGGATCTGCAAGCGTGGGCAGAATATCAAAGCAATGTCCTGCGCTCTCACTGCACCTACATGATTCGACTATGGAGAAAGTCGGCTTTCAAATCCAAGTCATTTGGTTAAAACAGCACTATGTCACTATGTCACGTCTATATTTTGTTTTTAAAACTGGTTGCTAGAAAATTAAAATACCAACACAGGTTGAGAGGACACAAAAGGGTCCACACTACGATCTAGTGTGGACCCTTTTGTGTCCTCTCAGCCTCTCTAGGTAGCCACGGGGGGTGATGGTTCTTCCCACTTGCATTGCACCAGGTCAGAGACGACTCAGCAGCTTAAGGACATCCTTAACATGATGGAAGCTCACGCGGCTCCGGCTACCGCGCCCCAGCAGGTAAATGGGGAAGCTCTGCAGGAAGAGCCCATGGAGACCGCAGAACACATAGAGTCTTCGGGATCCATGGATGTGGAATCCGCACCAATGGGGTCCCATGTCGATCAAATGGAGACCCTTCCAATGGACTGGCCCCCGCAGCCTCAGTACCCAAAGACGACATTGAAGAGATGGTGCACACCAAAACCCGCTAAGGCCTGGTAACACGACAACACACGTTTCCAGTCCTTCGAAAGCTGACCATCAGGAGATGAGGCGTGAGCTTCCACAGGAAAACTTTGGATCCCATAATGCACTTGTTGTACGTGGGTTGGGGAAAGCGTTTTCTTTCCTGTGGAAGCTCACGCCTTCGTGGCTGGCAACTCTACCTCAGTCGAGACACACACACACACAAAGTGCCTGCACTCTCACAGGTGCCTGCAGAAGCCGTGGAAGAACATCCTACAGGTAGTGGCATGCAACAGGAGGTGCCGGCGACAGATCCAGAATTACTTCAATGGAATTCGACTCTAGGTATATTCAAAAGGTCAGTGATCATCCTGTTCAGAAACAAATCCTCCGCTTTTGCTTGAGCACCCCCTTATGCTGATGCTTGTAAGTGCAGGTGCCCACTGAAGAAGTTGCACGTGGAGACTCTCCCATGGAGCCACAAGATGAGGCATGGTGGTAACCTCTTGACTGGCCCCGTGATTCATTTTTTGCAGGTGCAGCCTGGAGATCACGGAGCTCAGACTGAAAACCAAAATCCTGGTATCCAAGAGGAGGCTTGAGCTCGCTCTAAAGCTTCATTGTTGAATTTTGACTGTACTTGCAATAATACATGGCAAGTCTTTATCTAGCTGCCTGATCAGGAACCTCATGAGACTGAACATCAATCTGGTACAGCAGAGGCTTGTCCTTGCTCCTCACAGTATAGAATGCGGAATTATGTTTTTCATCGCAGGTGCAGCCCGATCAAGAAGTTCAGTTTGTTCAACATCCTAGCGCTGAAGAGGAGGCCTGAACTTGCTCCTCACAGCAAATTGTAATAGATATTTGTCGCAGGTGCGGCCCGATCAAGGAGCTCATCAGTCTGCTGAACTTCCTGCTACTGAGGAGGCACCCCCACTAGAATTTTAATTTTATTTTGTGAGGTTGCTACTGCACGATGTTGAATCAGTGGAAGAAAAATCACGGAACCATGGCAGTATGCCTGTGCCCAACTGTTCCCAAACCCTCAGCCGTTCAGCCCTTAAATTCAATATGTGCTGCAGGCGTCTGGAGGAGAAGATCGACATGCTTCTGGACAAGAACGCCCCGCTGTGGAACATATGGTTGCCAAGGTCCAACAATCAGTTGAACAATATAGACATGTTTCATCATGCTTAGCCTCACAAAGAAAAAATCACGCCAGAAACCCCCCATGGAGCCAGAGTTGGGTATTGAGGTTCGTCTCAACAGTCCTGATGTAAAACCGATCCTGAGGGCTGTGCACATCCTAGCCAGCCAGCGCAGTGCATCAGGCTGACCCAGCTGGCCAACAAGATGCAGGTGGGCAAAAGGCCTGTCGCTTCTGCTCTTTGTCAATTGACTCCCAAATTCAACGAGCTCGGTCAATATCCGAAACGTGTTTAAAGATTGCAAGAGTTAATATCATGGGAGATGAAACAATCTTGCAAAAGTATATTTATTAATCCCGGCACAAGCGACGAATCCGCCGTCTTGTCCACAGGAATCGCTTCCGGCTGATCAAGAAGGTAATGATGATGGTGAGGTGCGCATGATGGGTCTTAAGGGCGTCCATAAGCATCGAGCCCATGAGACGCAAATATAGTTTTATGGGTCCATGCACGCGCCACATATGTGTGCAGGATGCACCACATAGGCGGGCGGCGTCGTGTTACTGTTTGTGTCTCGTGGATTCTTGACTGCATGTGTTGTTTCTTCCAACCATGCCAGCAGGCAACCTTTGCTGGCAAACCCGCCTAACTTGACTGAAGTCTTATCGGAAGTGTTCCCGCATGTGAACGACATCAAATTTAGCGATGACATTCTCAAAGAACAATCAGCACTGAAGCTACGACCGCATTCAGCAAAAAAGAAACGGTAGGGTCATGTTTACGTACGGTCGTTGACGTCGTATAGACATGTTGTTTCATTCTAAAAAATACTGCTGAACTGTAGGCGTGCTGCTGCAAAGGCTGCTGCAAAGGCAGAAGCTAAAGCCGCTGGCCGGGGTCGCGGCAGAGGCCGTGGCAAGGGTGCTGGCAAAGGGGCAGCAAAGGAGCAAACCGAAGAGCCTGCGCAGAGTACAGGGGGGGCTGAGGAAGCAAACACTGCAGAGCCACCTGGCACCAAAGGAAAGGGACGAAGGAAGGGAAAGAACAAGACAGTTCCAACAGGACCAGCACAGGAGCAGGAGGAGGAGGAGAAGCAGCCTGCTAGGAAGAGAGCTGCACAAGGTAAGGGTGAAAAGAAGAGCAAGAAGCCCAAGCAGACCACAGAAGCCCATGTGGTAGGCAGGTGTGCGCGCGTGTGGGGTGTCTGAGGTTGCGCACACATAGGGCACGTGTTTCTTCCGCCAGACCAAAAGTCGAGGGAGCAAATCACCGCGTCTTTGCCGAAGCTTGCCGACTACAA